GACTAATGAAAATTGTGAAGTAGAAATGAAAGTAATTTCTTTTTTAAAATCTTCGTAGAGATGTTCCTACTAATATACCATTAGGTTTACAGTGAAATCCCTCTGATTCCTGTTTCTGTAAAATTCTCTGTTTTCTAGAGGCAAAGCAGTATTTTTATTCCACAGACCCAATTTGTATCTTCTTATGGTTTGTTTTAAGCCATCCATCCTTTCGGTATATTTTTTCCTTTTGCCTCCTCCCTCTTTTGTCCCTTTGTTTAACCCGTGTGTAACAGGTATCATGCAAAAGTAGTGCTGTGAGCACTTATGCTTGCTCTCTGTTTTCTATAGCTGAGTATCTCAGGCCAGTTAATACTGGTGGGATGCTTGCCTTACTGTGCTGGTATATATGTCACTTTGAAAGCATTTAGAGAGGTGGATGGGGATTAAAAGGCTGCTGCACATTTTTAGCAGCCCGCACAGGGGCTACCTGCTGGCTTATATCCACTCTAAATTGGCTTTGCCTGCTACCTCAGAGGCCATTGGTTGGTTTGGAGTGTCCATAAAATGGGCTTTATTAACCTGTTGTGTCATAACCCCGTCATTCCATCACTTGCTTTAATCAGGTATCCTGAGGGATCAGTGGTTTCAGAGAGTTTCTTCCTTCATTAACCTTCCAGTAACAGCTGCATTAAACCCTCAAGTGCAGCCACAAGTACCAATTTCTTATTTTCTTTTATGCATCGCATAGACATTTCGCTTCTGTTAGACTTGAAAATGTGGCTTACTGGTGGCCTTAAGATCAAAATTCTGCTTTTACTTGCATCATTAGGTGTCAGCTGGCAGGGTGGTGTGCAGGGCTGGCCAGGGACAACAGGCTGGTGTGCAGGGACAGTTCCCGCTGGTTGCACAGTCCCTTCCTCCAAGGTCCATAGAGAGGAGTTTGTGGGAGGACAGAAATAGCCGCCTCAGAGGGGCTTTGCCGCACATGGACTGGGATCACTCTTCCCGTTCCCAAACCTGCGTGTTGGCTGGGCAATGGGTGCGTGCCTGCTCCCCGCCTGGCTTGGCAAGGATGGGTAAGATCATCAGCTATCTGCTGAGAGAAGGCGTCCACGGCAGGTCTCCGGTACCTCCGCAGCCTCTCCGGATGAGATGGGCCGCACAGCGCGGCTGTGCCTGGCAGGCAGGACGCCGTGAGGAGAAGCGCACGCATGAGAGTTTTGGGCGAGCAGTGGGAGCATGTAGCAGGAGCCGCAGCACCAGCCTCCCACGGCACGTTGGCGTTGCTTGTGTCCCATCTCTGGAGCCAGCCTGTAGCTCATGTATTTAGAAAAGGAGCAGTTTAGGGTCCTTTCATGTCCAGATCCTCTTTTTCACATGCCTTCCCACAGTCATAGCTATGTCCAACATATTAATCTCTCTGAACCATCACGGCATTTTAATTTTCTTCTCCTTTTTATAGAACTGCCCACAGTGGATAGTGCACTAATTGTTTCAAAGCACTTCACAAAGATGGTAGAGGCACTCAGGGATAATCTCGGTGAGGCCAGTAAATTGGTCATCAGCAAACCACTGAGAGACATGAAACGAGGCAACTGTAATCTGCAGAGAGACCTTCCTCTCATTTGGAACTACAGTGACCAGTGGATATGTGAAACAAATCACAGGAGTCCACAAAGCCTCTGTCCTTTATTGAAGGATGCTACCAGAGGGAGTAAGGAGGAAACTACAAGCAGGCCAAAACATTAGTCACTCAGTGTGAAGACCAGAGGCAAAAAAAAAAACCATCAAAAGGAGTGCTTGAATGTGGAGAACAGTTCACCCTGGTTTTGCTTTTTGTCTCCTTGATATCAAAAGGCTCTTTGGGTTTTATCATTGCAAGGTGCAAGGGTTGGCAGAAGGCTTTCTCCTTGAAATGGAAAGTTGAATTGAAGTGTCCATGGAGCTGTGCTATTTACATGAAACCAGAATAAACTCACAGCTGGGAAAAGCCAAGATTCAAATTCAGAATATCAGGACAAATAATATGATTTGTCTTTTATTGCGGCAAAAGAGAAATAGTGATCACTGTTACTTTATTACCGTTTAAAGTGCTTATGCCTTAAGAGGTCATGTGTATGTAAATCATACAGTTTTCTTGAACAGCTTACATGAAAAATACTCTCTGCTGGTTGTCCCTGACCCTAATCAAATGCACTGGAATTTGTGTGACAACAGGTTGTTGTGATTTAACCCAACAGGCGGCTAAACATCATATAGCTGTTTACCCACTCCCCGCACCCACAGTGGGATGGGGGAGTGAATCAGGAAAAAGGGTAAAATTCATGGGTTGAGGTAGGGACAGTTTAATAGGACAGAAAAGGAAGGGAAATAATAATGATGATGATAGAATATATAAAGTGAGAGATGCACAGTGCAATTGCTCACCACCTGCTGACATGCCCAACCAATTCCTGAGCAGTGACCCTGTAACCAGCTTTCCTCCTAGTTTATGTGCTGAGCATGATGTCACATGGTATGGAATATGCCCCTGGGGCTGTGTCCCCTCCCAGCCTCTTGTGCTACCCCCAGCTCCCTCACCAGTAAGACAGTATGAGAAGCTGAAAAGTTCTTGACTTATTGTAAATATTGCTTAGCAACAACTAAAACATCAGCGCGTTATCAGCATTACTCTAATCCTGAATCCAAAACATAGCTATATGCCAGCTACCAAGAACAAAATTACCTCCATCCCAGCTGAAACCAAGACAGAGGTGAAATACACTCCAATGAAGACATGAGCATCTATGGACAGAGGCTTTGTGGTGGACTCTCAGCTGAGGACCTCTTCTTTGACCCAAGTTCCTTGTCCTGGACAGTAGGTCATATTTCTGGGCTTTGTTGTCGGCTGCCTTTCACATTTTTTAATGTCCCTGAGCACTGCCTTGAGGCACAACTTTATCCCAACCCTCCATCTGAAAAGTGATTCTCATACAGACAGGCAGATAACTAGCTAGGAATTGGTGCTGTAGCTCAATGTTGAAAACCTGTGATTGTGCATGTATTCCCTGTGAAAGCTGATGCATGTCCAAGGCTTTGATGGGGACCACAAGACACTCAATTGGCAACCTCAGTGAGCAGCATCACGGCAGAGAAAAGGCCACATGTGCCCGGCATGCAGGACAGCCTTGTGAGGGATGTGCGCATGGCCAAGCAATGCCCAAAGCTGGGGTGGTGGTGGGAACACTGGGGGCAACCTGGGAGTGTTGCAGGAGCACAGCAATGAAGGACTTGAGAGCATTGCTAGGGCCATTTTTAATCACTGAGCTGATAAGTCCCAGGTCACTCTGTCACAGTCTGCTAAGCAGCGTGTTTTAGGAGGCTTGTCAGGGTTAAACTCCAGCTGTCTATAGATGGACTTGGTAAGAGGTGTCTACAACAAGTCAGCCTGAGGTGGGATGTGGCTAGTGGTTGGGATGATCAGGCCACTTGGCTGCTTAAGTGGGGTCTTTGGGAGCTGCCAGACCCATGCTGCAGCCTTGAAGCTAGAGAAAGAGAGAGCAGCATTCCAGTGACAGGTACACGAGCAAGATGTCTGGGGACACGTCAAGCCTAGCACCCATGCAAGGGACTTCGG